GTGTAACCTGTTAGATGCCGATCTGAATGGAGAAAAAGCTGTCAGCTTCAGACATGAAGCGGACAGCTTTTTCCTCCATAATTCTAGGTGAGGCTCTGCCTCACATCCCTCCCCTGACCGCACGTCCCTGCTCTATTAGTGGTCCACGAGAAGATTTAGCTCCTTGTACCACACTTTAGCTCCTTGTACCTACAAGGGTGGTCAGATATGCATGCATAATATAACAGCTCTCAAACATCAGAATTGGCAACCATAAGAGGGAGAAGATGAAAATGGAGCTGACAGATGCTTTTGGTACTGCTTATTTAAGGTGGGACAATAGCAGTTAGGGCACATTTTTTGACCTTACCAAAGACAGCAGTTTTAGTGGGGGCTTCCACAAGCCATAAAATGGTCTCCCTATCTAGCTTTAAAAAAAAGTCAGATTCGATTACTGTTATCTATTGTCAACAAGTCCCCTTAAGTAGATGTAAACCCAATCACTAAAATCTTATATAATGTTTATCTAATGCCATCTAATTTTTCAGGCACTTCCTGTTATACAGTGACCTCTGTCTCTGAGCTGTTCCCCTGCCTTATTAGCCAATGGAGACTATAAGAAGCCATGGCAACACTCAATGCAAAGACATGCTCCACGATTCTCAACCATCAGGAACACCCTAAATGACCCCCTATCCTGGAGAAAAGGTATACAGCCACCACTGAAAAGAATGTATGTAGACAGGAGTGACTGCAAGGAGACAGCATGAGATCAGCAGCACTGAGATGCAACAAAAGATTGAAAAAAGTTGAAGCGCACCAATGCATGTAGCACGCAATGCGGCTGCTCAGGAGGTGGGGATGGGTCCTTAGGGTTTACATCTACATTAAAGCTGAATGAGCTTAACTGGAGCGCCTTAGTAGAATTTGTATTAATTTTATGGAAAATGCAGTCGCTGTATGCATTGCCATTAACAATCACAGAACAGGAAAAAAAAAAGAGAAGGAAATGGAGAAAAGATACCACTGCTAAAATAAAATCCAGCAGGACTCCCCATTTTGGTAGGGATATCTTCATCAACAAGCACATGAATGGGGAAGTAATGTTCCATATCAAACAAAGGATGCTTTAGCATCTTCGCTTCCAGTCTTTCATATCTTGCACCACAGAGACCAGCTCTGAAGCGGAGCTTCTTAAAACCTACATAATGCCATCACAGAGCGGTCACACACTGTAGGTGTGAGCTATAGATATATTTTGTACATTATAATGTTTATAACACAGGAAAAATAACTACGCAAACATCAAGCCACAACTATGTGTATATACGATACATATACATTGCGAGGTACAATATGTGGTTAGTGGTTTTCATTTATATCTTTCACAATCATAATATATAGAAGAATTTGCGTCATCAATTCCTTGGCCACGGTTTCACAAAGTTCACATTACACTGCCACGCTAGATACATTTTACACAATAATATTTATAAAAAGTGACAGTGAAAACATGTTCCCATTCCAAGAGACACTCAAACAGAACACAGGATATATGTTCTGTATATTCATAAAGCAAAAGTCCTTCATGGACAGTTATTAAGAAAGATCATGAGGTTCAATATGTAAACTTAGTTACCGTATTTTGTGATCCATAAGACGCACCGGACCATAGGACGCAGGGAGGTCCGGCGCGCCTTATGGAGCACTCGACAGACTGTAGCTTGTGTCACAGCTTCTGTGACAGAAGCTGCAGTTAGTGACCGCTGAGACAGGTGGCGCTGTGATTACAGTGCCACGGTCTCAGTGATCACACAGAGCAGACGAAGAAAGTCCGTTCTCTGTCTGCTCTATGGTGATCTCGATCGTCGCCGCTGCTCGGTTTTAATACGAGTGATCTCATTAGATCACTCGTATTAAACGAGCAGTGGCTCCAACTACTCGCCCGGTGCCCGAAACTGCAGGTCTCGGGCATCGGGATTCGCTCCATAAGACGCAGGCACATTTTCCCCCTCCTTTTGAGGGGAACAAAGTGCGTCTTATGGAGCAAAAAATACGGTATATATACACAGAGTACAGTTTTATAAACTCCTAAGGATTTTCAGTATAGCTGTTTAACATTTGCAATCCTCTAGGTGAAATCCATCAAGACTATTCGTGATTACTGAAAAGGGAAGATTTGGATTTTCTACTCTTGTCAATGGAACATCTTAGTCCTCGTTCACACCGAGGTGTTTTGTTGCTCGCAGGTAAGCACAACAAAATGCTTAAGACAAGAAATCCTATTTGTTTGTCTTAAGTGCAACAAAACACTCAAGACAAGGAATCCCATTCATTTCTATGGCCCCTGTTCACAGCTGTCGTAAGCAGAAAACTGTCTGTGGCTGGATAAAGTACATGAGCTACTTTTTGGCAGATTACAGCTCTTTTGGTCCAATAGACTTCAATGAGAACCTCTATACAACAAAACTGATATAAGACCCATCGCACTCCTGACCAGATAGTAAAGTACCCATAGAAATCGGGTGGGTTCCTGAGTAACAGCAGATTCCTCTGCAGAGTAACATGAAGTAAAGAAAAATCACTCGTACTCCAGCTTGATTTGATAGTCAATATTTATTGACCATTGTAGTGTCACATCAAAATGGCGATGTTTCGGAACCGTCCGTTCCCTTCTTCAGGCAAACAAAGAGTGCACCAAAAAGCTCAGGTGAGAACAGGGGCCATTGAAATGAACAGGATTCCTTGTCTTCAGTATTTTGTCGCGATTAGCTTTAAATGGTGCGAACGAAGCCTTAGGCTCCTAAAAAGTACATAGCTTGGATTGAATGTTTCCTGAATTATACATTGGTTTATCCACCCCTGTGCTAGCCTGTATGTTAATACATAGTTGTGGAAAATTAAAGGGGGTAGGGTGACTTGATGAAATGCAGATTCCAAAATTATAGCATATCTAAAGCTAAAAACAAAATGTAACATATGGCAGCTACCAGCTTGGGGTGGCTGCATTAGTTTTAACATTTCAGGCTAAGAACATTTTCAGCAAGTACAGAAAACGTTCATCTTGTCAGAAATGCTGTGTCCTTGTCACCTCCTATTATCTTTTTTGTGTAAACTACTAGGCCCACCAAGGGACAGGAAGAATGTTATTTGCATATTACCAGATGAAATAAAAATAAAAGGGGGAAAGTCTGAAAAAAAAGAAAATGAATGCAGCCACCTCATCTAAGGATTGGGATTGGTAAGCTGTAATATATAACACCTTTGTTTTTTGGTTTAGATACTACTTTATGTATTTATTTACAGAGCCTTTTTGAAACTACAGATATAAATGGTTTGCCAACTGGCAGTAGCTTGCATTAGTCATTAATTTTGTTCTAGATAAGACTTTATTGATCCCTTAAAAATACATCATTTTTGCAGACATAAAAAGAAAACATGATAAAACAATTTGCCGGCCCTTACATTGTAAGTGATAGCACTTGGAAAGCAACAATGAGCTAGATCCCCAACCAGTTCACAAGTGACATATGATTCTTAACTTCCAAGTCACTTTCCTTACTCTGCAAGGTTTTATATAACAGTGTATTGATGTTAACACTAATTCTGTGTCACTTTTAATTTTGATTATGGAAAGTATAGTAAAAATACTGAATATTCATAAGAAATTGCTATTTAGAACTCAACAACAAAAAACATTCCAACCTAATAATCTATTTAATAATTGTTCCCATCAAGCAAGTTCAATGGAATTGTATTTAAAAAGGCAGCCCAAGTTACATGCAGCTACCTATTATGATCTTAGGCTGGATTCACATTGTTTTGCATGCATGCAGCATGCTAGGTAACCCTAGGTATGAATGGGTCCATATAATGTCCATTTCTCTTTGAGACTAATGGGCCCATATAATGTCCATTTCCATAATGTGAATGGGCCCATATTATGTCCATTTCTCTTTGACACTTAACTGTATAGCATATATGTTAACTAGCCATACAGGAAAGAATGGGATATCTACTTGTAATGCATTTCCATGCAACATCCTTTATGGCCATGGTAAAGAGGAAGACTTTGCCACCCAACACTAACTCACCAGAAGGAATTCTTATTAGATTTTATTTCTAATTCAGTATATAAGCACAGATCACTGTGAATGGCAAGTCAATTCAAGAGATGTACATTTTAATGCACTTAAAAGAAAAAAACCTTCACAAAATTCAGAAATTTCCCAGTGCTTTATATACCATCTATAAGAATCCCCTTTATGTAAAGAACAACATGTTACAGAGGTTCAGTTTTTAGGCCAAAAAATAGTACACATTCAAATAGGTTTGTATCCAGAGAGTAGGTCCTAAAAAAGTGAAGTATTAGGATGTAGCTTTCAGTTTAACAATGTATCCATGTCCATATTCTCAACTATTGTCATAATCTACAAGTAAACAGCAAAAGACTAAGCTCACACATATAAGTAGGTGAAAAGAGAAATTCATTAGGGTTGTTGTCCCCAACAAGGCTAGAGGTTCATCAACTTAGAAGCTTCTGTATGGATCTTACATGGGTGTCCTCTAGGAGGCCCAGAGCCAGACCCAGAAGACAATGCCCCATTACACATTCCATCTGGCCTTGGGACACCTTGAATTCCCACTTGAAAGTCCTAGATCTGTAGCCTGACTATGGCATTCTGGGCTGGCCATATCCTGTCGCCCAAATGACTCCACTAGAGTAAGGGGAAGGACCTTGATTATAATAAGCATTGTAAAATGACTTGTTTTGTTCTGTGTCAGAGTATCTACACTGAAAACACTTGCTTAACACAAACTCCACTGGTGGTATTTAAATAGATTTTATAACCTTAATGTGTGTTAAACGTACCTAGAAACATAAAAGGTTTGGTAAACATATGAACTGAAAACATCTGATCTGTAAGGACCAGCCCAAGCAGCACAGTCGCATGACGGAAACAAGCTATACTTGCTTAGAGAAAGTGCAAGTCTACAGCCGTTCAGCAAATAAGTATTATTTAGGTCAAGAGTTTTCTGTAGACGCTATTTTTTGCGGTGCTGACGACCGTCTCATTTTTGCTTGCGGTGCTCATTAACCGAGCACTGCTGCTTACAGGCTCAGTCAACTTCTTACAACACACCAAACTGTACAAGTACCTCTGACACTGGGTGGAGCCATAGTAATAAATAATTGGGTCCAGGCAGCAGTTGACACTGCTAATGCAAGCGCACAGAATGTAGGCATAGTACAGAGACTGGTTGGCTCCATGACTGAAGTACAAATAATGTATTAGGAAGATGAGATTGCTGGGCCCAAAGCACATGATGAAAACACAGAGCACCACAATGGCCAAGACTAAGGCTCGGGTCTTCTTGCATGAGTTCTCAATGCTTGTACTGCTCAAGCTGCGTATGGTGCCGATATAACAGATGGTTGTAATTATTAACGGCAACACAAAGAAGACCATGATAAAAGTGGTAAAATAGTACTTGTAAAATCCCTTGAGGTACTTCAGGTCTTGAACATCATGGCAGGTGGTGATGCCCAATGAGGCAACATGTTTAGTCTGCTCATTCATAAAAAGAGGCGCACTGCTGGCAATGGACACAATCCAAATGGAGATGCAGACCATCCAGGCTCTACTCATTGTGCGCCAAGAAAGAGAATGCATTGGATAAACAACTGCCAGGAACCGGTCCACACTGATACTTGTCATAAGAAGGATGGAGCAGTACATGTTGAAGTAAAATGCTGCAGTGATAAATCGACACATGCCAGGTCCAAAGTGCCAGTCATTTCCTGCAAATCTGTAAGCAATTTGGAAAGGTAGAACACTGATGAAGAGGACATCAGCCGTGGCCAAGTTCAGCATATAGACTACAGCCGGCTTCCTGACCTTCATTTTAAACAAGAATATGATGACTGCCATGACATTGAGAGGAAGTGCCACAAGGAATACCAAGGTGTACAGAGATGGCACAAATCTTGTCAACATCGGACTAGTCAGATACAGATGAACCTGCTTTGTAATGTTGTTTGTTCCTTCCTTTAACATACTGCGGGTGCGAGGCAGTGTGGGCCCCAATCCCGATTCTTCTCCAGATGCATCTATTGACTCATCTGGAAAATAGTCAACGCTATCAATTGCATCATCCGGAAATTCTTCAAATTCATCAACAAAATCTTCAGGAAGGTAAAAGGTTTTTGGATCGATGCTGTTGTTACCTGAAATGAAAAAAAGGATAAGTTAAAATAAAAATGAAAGGAATGGGGGCCATTCCAATCTTGGCAGAGTTCTAAGGTAAAAAAAATACAGTGAGAGTAAAGCCAGACTTTTTTTTATTATTATTTTAGGTGTAGATAGAATGGAAAAGGAAATGGAAGGAAATCTCATCAAGGTGAGAGGAATTTGTGTTTTAAGCAGGCCATACAAGTCAAGTTTGAGCAGTATGTGGCCCCATCAGTACCCCTACATACGACAAAAGCCGTTTTTTCAATGAGGCGGTCTGAAAATTCTTGGCCAAACAGTGACTGCATTCAATTTGCATTCACCAGTATCTGTCACATTCAGATGCCTTAGCTGTATTTGGAATAAATTGCTCAATAATAATGGCTGTATCTGTACTAGTGAGTCAGAGTCATAAAGAAACGATTTTCATGGCACTTCCCACTATTCTAACATGAGGAATACATACCCTGGAAGGGGAACCCGCAAATATTTTATGTTTTAAGAAGGCTCAGCTGTATCTCCAACAATAAGACATAATAGGTGTGATGAAAATACATCTGTTGTAGATAACTTGGGTTACCAGATAGGCAGGGCAGCCATCAGAAATTTTGGGGCTCCTTACACGGCTTTAGGCCGGGCCCCCCTGCACCGCCGCCACACTGAGCAGTGTGGCGGCGGTGCAGGGCTGTACAGAGAACACTGCACCAGTCACATCAGTCTCTGCACAGAGGAGCTTACACTATAATGCCCCACACACTATTATTATTATACATTTATATAGCTCTGACATATACAGCAGTGCTGTACAAAGAACACTGAGCTAGTCACATCAGTCAAGCTCGGAGCGGTGGAAGCAAAAAAAAAAAGTGTGGTGTGCAATATAGTGAAATGAAAAGTGTAAAATTATACAGCAATCAATACAGAATGGCACCGGTCATAGAGGACTACAAATCCCAGCAATAACACATTCTACAGCGCAATTCAGAATAATATATATATAACTCTGACACATACCGCTGTACACTCAGGACACTGAGCCAGGCACATCAGTCTCTGTAAAGAAGAGCTTACACTCTAATGCACAATGGCACCAGCTGTAGGGGGACTACAAATCCCAGCAATACATTATAAAGCAATGCAGAACAGTATATTTAATTCTGGGCTCAGTGACCCACTGGGCGCAGGGATAAGTGACCCGCTGGGCGCAGGGATAAGTGACCCGCTGGGCGCAGGGATAAGTGACCCGCTGGGCGCAGGGATAAGTGACCCGCTGGACGAAGGACCCAGCTGAGACCCCACACATACCCAAGAGTGATCCTGCAGAGCCCACCATAGATGCTGCACAGTCCATCTGATACTCTTTATGGTGGACTCTGCAGGGGGTCTCATGTGGGCTGGTCAGGGATAAGTGACGCGCTGGGCGCAGGGCTTAGTGACGCGCTGGGCGCAGTGCTTAGTGACGCGCTGGGCGCAGGGCTTAGTGACGCGCTGGGCGCAGGGCTTAGTGACGCGCTGGGCGCAGGGCTTAGTGACGCGCTGGGCGCAGGGCTTAGTGACGCGCTGGGCGCAGGGCTTAGTGACGCGCTGGGCGCAGGGCTTAGTGACGCGCTGGGCGCAGGGCTTAGTGACGCGCTGGGCGCAGGGCTTAGTGACGCGCTGGGCGCAGGGCTTAGTGACGCGCTGGGCGCAGGGCTTAGTGACGCGCTGGGCGCAGGGCT